TACTGATGTAAGTGGCCTCAGGTCATTTTTAAGGAGAAGGGCGGAGTAAAAATATTTTAATTTTAAAAATATAATTAATATTGGTGTTAAAGACCCGTTGATGCAGCTGGTTACCTCTCTCTGTTGTCTTTTGCAGGGCTTGGCGTGATGCTGGCAGCACGAACAGAGCCATCCCTTCCTCCTGATGGAGGGAAAGCTGAAGAGGAGGAGGAAAGATCATTGAAAACACAGGTAGGGGGCAGCCTACCTGCCTTTTTCCTTAGCTTGTCTCTCTGAAAAAGACGGGATAGTGGATTTTGAGCCAGGTTGTTTTAGATGAGAGTTATGAAAAGTTCACCAGTTCCTCCATGTGGGAACTAGGGAAGAAAGACATCAATAAAAGCATCGGAACGCGAGAGAATCCAAAACTGAAGTGTTCTTCCATCCAGACTGACAAACTGATCCATGCCCCCCCCCCCCAGAGTTTTGAGAGCTCATCTTTTAAAAGTCTGGGCTTGAACCATTATGTGTCCAGCCCTGTTAGTCCTCTCCGATGATTCCCACCCCCCCAGGTTCCTAAGCATCGGCCCCTATTTAGCTCCAGATATAACATGGTCTTTTCAAGGCTGGAAACAGCAGTACACTTTGCATTTGGTTATTGGGCTGTAATACAAACTACATATGGGAAAGTTATTTCCCCATCCCTGCCCCCAATCCTTCATGTCTCTTTCTTTCCGAAAGAAGCTGGAAGTCTTTCTTGTCTGACAAACTGAACCCAGCAGTGGATTTTAAAAAGGATCACAATTGAGCTTTTTTGATTGTGATTACTTTTCTCTGGAAGGAGTGCCGTTGCTCCCGAAGAGTACCCATCACACCCAGACATCCCCCCCACCATCCCCACCGCGGCGGGAAGAGAAAGGTGTGGAAACCCCTGATTGGGAGAAAGAGAGCACCGGACCCCTTACCCTGAACAAAGGGGTAGACACCCAAGATTTGGAGGTGGTCACGAAGGAGTTAAACATCACCCGGGAACCGGGGAGGGTTCTGGCGGGAAACCGAGGGGTGGAGATTGAGGCTGGGGTAGGAGATATAAGGGAAAAATCGAGGGATATACCAGGAGGTTGGGAGTGGATATGGATGGAGGATCCCTGGACCCATAAGTGGGAACAGGTCCGGGTTCCTCATGAAGAGGCGGAGAAGCGTCGTCAGTTGGGACTGAAACCTCGGCCTTCGTATTGGGGAGAAACGGAGGCAAAGGAGTGGAGAAGAAAGCTCCGCGAGGAACGGGAGGCAGTGGCCCGTGAGTTAGAGAGAAAGAGGCAATGGCATATCGCAGAACTGAGGAAGTTGGGGGGTTACCCGGCCCCTGGGGGACAGAAGGAGGAGATGGGTCATCCTGGGATGGCTGGAGCGGAGATGAAGAGACATTACCGCTAATTTCGTTGGAAGAAACTTGGATCTGTGCCGCCTGTAACAGGTCCCTGGAACCCAGAGACGACAAATCCGTTTGTAAATAGTTTATGGACACCTTTAAAACCTAGTCAGGTTCTGCAAGAGTCTTTGAACCCCTTTGTAGGGGGAAATCCGGTTGGTGTTAACGTGGCAATAAATACTGAACCTTTTAATGTACCTCCACCGCCTTGTCCGTTTTTTGGGGAACTGACAGCCTCACCAAATGAACCCTCACACCATGTCATATTAGGTAATCATTTGGCTATTGACAAAATGAATTTTTTTAGTTGTGAGTATATCCTTCTTTTTCTATCCAGTGTCCTATAACTTTTGAGGAGGTGGCTGTGAATTTCACCCAGGAGGAGTGGGCACTGCTGGATCCTGACCAGAGAACCCTGCAGAAGGAAGTCATGGAGGAAAACTGGGAGATTGTTGCCACTTTTGGTAAGGCTCAGTCTTTCTCTGCCTGCTCATACTTGTAATAATTACAAATGGTTGGGCGGGGGGTGCATGCAGGGCAGGCGGGACATGCATACAAGTGGGTGAGGCACCAGTGCACATGTGTGGATGGGTGGGGCATGTGGGGATGGGTGGGCAGGGCACCCACGCATGCATGTGCGGGTGGGTGGGTCACCTGTGTGTGCGTGTGGGGAGGCTGTGCGTGCGTGGGGGCCATACATGCCAGGGGGCGGGAAATCTGTCTCCGCGGCCTGGTCCTGCCAAGGCCACAGTCCAGTACCATGCAGCGGACCAGGAGTTGGGAACCATGGATTTAGGCTACAGTATTTCCACATTCTTTCTCCTAGTTTCACCTTTTTTACACAAAAGACACAGATTGGTTTTTGACCCACTCAGTTATATCCTGTAGTTCTGTGTCTGTGTTTCTATTGCTTATTCTAAAATATCACAAGTTGCAAGTCACTCCCATTCCATTAACTGTACAAACGTTGTTCATGATGTGGAATCAAAGATCACGGCAAGAAAAGGTGCAGCTAGGTTTCAAGATAAGTCTGACACACACACACCCCTTTAAGGTTGACTTCTCTGTGGAAAAAGACGAATATCTGGCAGCAATAGTCTAGGTCCAGAGATGTAAAAAGTTCTAGCCCCTCTTATGGCCAATGGTGGTTATTATGTGTTCTCCTCCATTTGAAAAAGGGTGGATACTGTCAGGTAACAGAGTTGATGGAGACTGAGGGAAATGATGGTCTTGGGGTAGAAGGAGAGAGAGAGAGGAACAAAAAATGAGAGTAGTAAAGAGAGGTCAAGAGAGCAGTGGATTATCCTGCAGATCAGAGAGGGGAACATTTGGACCTGCACGTGTTTTGGGCTGCCACTCCCAGAATAATGAAAGGATGTTTGTGTCTCTTGTTCTCTGTCAGAGAACCAGCACCATGAACGCTACAACTCCGGGAGTTGTCATATAACCAAGGTGACACTAAGTGATTAATTTTTAAAAAGACGATGGATCCATTTTAATTCATTGCAAGCTGTCTAGTACCAGTATTAGAGCCACTAGATAGCAAGCCCCAGGCTCTTGAAGATCACTTTTCAAGAAAATTTTATTTAAATTTTATTTCAAATTTTTGCAGCTCATTTTGGATACAGCAAAAAGAGACCAGTTTCAGCTTTCAACTCTGAGCAGCTGGGGAGATTCAATATCTACTAAATTAATACAATTCTGTGTGAGCAAATCCCCTTCCCCACTTCCCGAGGATCCATGTCTCTTAGACTTGAGATTCAACTGTTCTGTGCTTGTTGTTCTTTCTAGCAGGTAACAGGAAGAAGACAAAGGTATGCTTGAAGTGTGGGACTTCTTTTATGCAGAATTGTGACCTTCCAACAGACCAGCAAAATTGTGTGGAAGAAGAAAGTTTGACTACAGAGAGACCTTATGAAGGCACCATGTGTAGGAAATGTTGTACTTTAAATATTTTGATTGAACCACAGAAGAGGGACTGTTTTGCAAAGAAATATTACACAAGCAAACTGTATAAGAAATCTCTTGGTTCCATTTCCCAGCTTCCAAGCCAGCAGACAGCCCATACAGCTGGGAACCTGTACAAATCTAATGGGAAGCATTTCAGCAAGAATTCAAACCTCAGGTTCTACCAGGCAGATGATGCTCGAGACAAACCCTACCAGGGCCAGGAGTGTGTGAAATATTTTCTTCATAAATCAGACCTCACAAGGCATCAGACAATGTTCAAAGGGGAGAAATCATACAGATGCCAGGAGTGTGGGAAATGCTTTGCTCAAAATTCAGATCTTACAAGGCATCAGACAGTACACACAGGAGAGAAACCATACAAATGTCAGGAGTGTGGGAAATGTTTTACCAGAAATTCATCACTTCTGGTCCACCAAAGTGTTCACACAGGAGAAAAACCATACAAGTGTCAGGAGTGTGGGAAATGTTTTGCTCAAAAACCAGACCTTGGGCGGCATCAGAAAGTTCATTCGGGAGAGAAACCATATAAATGCCAGGAGTGTGGAAAATCTTTCCTCACACATTCAGTCCTGCTGATGCACCAAAGAGTCCACACAGGAGAAAAACCGTTCAAATGCCAGGAGTGTGGGAAATGTTTTGCTCAAAAGCCACCCCTTAGGCAGCACCAGAAATTTCACTCCGGAGAGAAGCCGTATAAATGCCAGGAATGTGGAAAATGTTTTGTCACAAATTCAGTCCTTTTGATACATCAGAGAATCCACACAGGGGAAAAACCATACAAATGTCAGGACTGTGGGAAATGTTTCACCAGGAATTCAACTCTTCTGATACATCAGACAATTCATACAGGAGAGAAACCATACAAATGTCCGGAGTGTGGGAAACGTTTTGCTCAAAATGCAGATGTTCGGAAGCATCAGAAAGTCCACACGGAACTGAAACCATACAAATGCCAAGAGTGTGGGAAATGTTTTGCTCAAAACTCAGACCTTAGGCGGCATCAAAAAATTCACTCAGGAGAGAAGCCATATAAATGCCACGAATGTGGGAAATGTTTTGCCACAAATTCAGTCCTTCTGATGCACCAGAGAGTCCATACTGGAGAAAAACCATACAAATGTCAGGACTGTGGGAAATGTTTCACCAGGAAATCAACCCTTCTAATACATCAGACAACCCATACAGGAGAGAAACCATACAAATGTCTGGAGTGTGGAAAAGGCTTTGCCCAAAACTCAGACCTTCGGAAGCATCAGAAAGTCCACTCAGCATTGAAACAACACAAATGCCACGATAGTGGAAAATGTTTTGCTCAAAACTCAGACCCTAGGCAGGATCAGAAATTTAACACAGGAAAGACACCATTCAAATGCCAGGAATGTGGAAAATCTTTTGTCACAAATTCAGTCCTTCTGATGCACCATAGAGTCCACACTGGAGAAAAACCATTCAAATGCCAGGAGTGTGGGAAATGTTTTGCTAGGAATTCAACTCTTCTTATTCATCAAACAACGCATTCGGGCAATAAATCTTACAAATGCCAAGAATGTGGGAAATGTTTTGCTCAAAAATCAGACCTCAGCAGGCATCAGAAAATTCACTCAGGAGATAAACCATACAAATGCCAGGAGTGTGGGAAATGTTTCACCAGGAATTCAACTCTTCTTATTCATCAGAGCGTCCATTCGGGCAACAAACCATATAAATGCGGAGAGTGTGGGAAATGTTTTGTTCAAAGTTCAGACCTCGTAAGGCATCAGAGAATTCACTCAAATGAGATACCACACAAATGCCAGAAGTGTGGGAAATCTTTTGACAGTAATTCAATACTCCTGATGCATGAAAGAGTCCATATGGGAGAAAAAACATTCAAATGCCTTGAGTGTGGGAAATGTTTCGCTAGGATTTCAACCCTTGTGATTCATCAAACAATCCATTCAGGCAACAAATCTTACAAATGCCAAGAATGTGGGAAATGTTTTGCTCGAATATCATACCTAAGTAGACATCAGAGAATTCACTCAGGAGATAAACCATACAAAGGCCAGGAGTGTGGGAAATGTTTCGCCAGGAAGTCAACCCTTCTTATTCATCGGAACGTCCATTCGGGCAACAAACCATACAAATGCCGAGAATGTGGGAAATGTTTTGTTCAAAAGTCAGACCTCGTAAGGCATCAGAGAATTCACTCAAATGAGATACCATACAAATGCCAGAAGTGTGGAAAATCTTTTGACACTAATTCAGTCCCTCTGGTTCATCAGAGTGTCCACACAGGGGGAAAAACATGGAAGTGCCAGCACTGTGGGAAACATTTCAAGTTGAAACTCAGAACCTATGAAGCACTAGAAAGTCCACACAAGAGAGAAGCCATACAAATGCCAGCACTGTGGGAAACGTTTTATTCGGAATTCAAAGCTGCTTCCTCACCACATAGTTCATATAACCACACAAATCTAAGATGACTGGAAAAGCAAATGAAAAGCAAGAGAGAGACCTGAAAAACTAATAAAATCATGGCTGCAGTAGTTGCTAAAGTTGATAAGGGGGGCAAGACTGGAAGCAGAAAAAAATGAGAGTTAGAAAAACCCATTAAATATCATGGAAATTGTCCCACTGTCATAAATTGTGAGCTTTAACTGTGAAATTAATTAATGAACAAACTCTTGGATGCACACTTTAATAATGCTGTCAGAAGGCTTGTAATGCTCCATTAAAAGTCTGGACTACTATAAGAGAATGAATAGTTCCTGTGGTGATGGTGGGCTGGAATAACTCATGGTGGGCAGCTACTGGGCATCAACCCTAGTAGAAGGTAACACTGGCTGATTTATGTTACAGACAGAACCAAAATATTTTTCAGGTAACTTAACAGATACATGTGAACATTATCAAGTGGCCAATATAGAAATAATTGGAAGTAGGAGATGGACAAGCTATAATCTGTCTGTTTAAAACAAGGCCGGGAGGAGATTTTGGTACTGATTGAATTGTTAATATCAATAATTAGAGTAAACATCAGAAGCAATTGTCTAAACATAATTTACATAACAAAATAACATTTCTGATTAATTTGGAGTCCACATAAGGAACAGATTTGCATTACTAAACTCAACTGAGTGTAAAACAGAAGAATCCTAGACAGCATCTTAAAAAGCAGAGACATCACCTTGCCGACAAAGGTCCGCATTGTCAAAGCTATGGTTTTTCCAGTAGTCATGTATGGAAGTGAGAGCTGGACCATAAAGAAGACTGACCACCTGACGCTTTTGAATTGTGGTGCTGGAGGAGACACTTGAGAGTCCCCTGGACTGCAAAGAGAACAAACTATCCATCCTGAAGGAAATCAACCCTGAGTGCTCACTGGAAGGACAGATAGTAAAGCTGAGGCTCCAATACTTTGGCCATCTCATGAGAAGAGAAGACTCCCTGGAAAAGACCCAGATATTAGGAAAGTGTGAAGGCAAGAGGAGAAGGGGACGACGGAGGATGAGATGGTTGGACTGTGTCACTGAAGCTACCAACACGAATTTGACCCGACTCTGGGAGGCAGTGGAAGACAGGAGGGCCTGGCATGCTGTGGTCCATGAGGTCACAAAGAGTCAGACACAATTTAACGACTAAACAACAACAACAAGAAAAAATTACAACCTGTTCAATTTGCATCCTGTCTTCTTTTGAAGAGCTTGGCTATAATACTTTGCCTAGGGATTGTTATAAAGATTGTTATAAAGACTGGTGAAAATGTAACAAACCCACATAAAATCCTCAAGGAGAGAGTAACAAGAAAGAGGGTTGCCACTTCTGTTTAGCATAAACATTTCTGGCGCACAACCTTCTTCATCAAGTGCATGGAAGTTGACCATTACATATTGGTAATATGTAGTGTTGATGCAGGCGAGAGACCTCAGTGAGGCAGGTTTGATGAGAGAAAAATACCAATAGTGTTAATTATGCCCCCTGAGGAAGCCAGTTAGAGTAGTAAGGCGAAAACAGGCTGCTGGTTTTGTTTCACTGATAACTGGAGAAGTAGAAAAGAAGGAGAACACAGACCGTTTTGGGTCTTGTCTGTTGGAAGTCAGTCTGTTGAGACCCATTGCTGAAAGCAGTTGTCTTCCAAGTTTGCTGTTTGATCTGTTCAACTAGCTTCGGGTGGCGCCATCTTGGACGTGGTCAATGTCAATTTAGAGGTGCCGGTAGAACTTGAAACAGAGGATTTTTCCGACATCGAGGACTTCTTGGTCGATTTGTCGGCAGGCTTGGAAACGGAGGGCACATAGAAGAACAGCCCAGTCTGTGAAGAAATAACCACTAATGAACAGGGAAGGTGCCAGAATCAGAGGTCGACTCGCATTCCAGGACAGTTTTGGCGCTTTCAGTACTGATAGGAGAACTGCTGGAAAGGGGAATCAAGCCAGAATCCTGACTACTGGGTGGTGAAAACACTGAGGAGTTAACGGAGAAAAAGAGGGGGGAAAGAGAACATAGTTAAATAATCTGGATTAGCAACAACCTGTCCTCTGCAAGCTCACACTCTAATCCAACATAGATATCAACACAAAGGCATGGTACAATTTGGCCACAAACACAGAATTAAATAATTAGAAAAGGACAATAGAAGTATAATCCATAGGTTCTTAACCTGTGGTCCACAGACCCCTGGGGGGGCCCACAATGTTCTCATATGGGGTGAAGCAAAGGCTTGAAGAAATGTTGTATCTTTTGCGGTTAAAATAGGTAGGTAGGTAGGTAGGTAGGTAGGGAGGTAGGTAGGTAGGTAGGTAGGTAGGGAGGTAGGTAGGTAGGTAGGTAGGTAGGAAGGAAGGAAGGAAGGAAGGAAGGAAGAACAAAATCTTAATTTCCCTTGTTTGTGTAATACCTGGATTTTCTATTTTTTCCATTAAAAACCAACAAAAGTAAAAATCAGTTATGAAAATAACTGTTTGATAGCAAATAACTGATATTTCTGCACATGGTGAGAACATGCAGGTGAATGACACCGAGTGGCTGAGAGACAGTACGTGACATTTCTTGCTACTGTAGAGTCAGAAGCCATGGGGAGAGAGAGTCGGAGTCAGTCTGCGTCAGTGTGAGTGAGTGAATATTTTCTTGTTCCTGATGCAAAATTAGAGATCCCTTTTCAGTTAATGTGAACTAGAGGGGCTCACAGCAGCAGAGGAAAACCAACTTATAGAAATATTCATGGATGGTGCTCTGAAATTGCAGTTCAAGGTACAGTTCCTTCCAAATTTCTGGGCTCACCTACAAGCAGATTTTTCAGAACTACTGAAGAAGGCTATGAAGATGATTAGCACCAGCATCCGAACATACAATACACAGTCTTTGATTGGCATTATATAACAGATACAGGTTTTAACCAAAAACCTAAGTATCAGTTAAATATCTGAGACTTAATACGTATGCTGTTCCTAATACTGTCCATCTTTTGCAGCTCTGATGGTGTTATTTCAGAGACCTGCAGCTTATTATATACAGTATTTTATTACAGTCTGTGGCATTGTTCCCAATGCCATGATGACTGTGGGGACCACTGAAATGTGTTTCAATCACAAGCAAGCTATTTCTATTACCAAATCTCTGTATTTTGTTAATTTTTCCAATTCTTTATCTTCAACTCTGGCATCCCCTGGAATTGTAATGTCAGTTATCAAGACATTTCTCTGTTCTATGATGATGCTTTTAGAAATCTTCGTCCGTTTAGTCGTGCCCAACTCTTTGTGACCCCATGGACCAGAGCAGGCCAGGCTCTCCTATCTTCCACTGCCTCCCGGAGTTGGGTCAAATTCATCCTGGTTGCTTCGATGACACTGTCCAACCATCTCATCCTCTGTCATCCCCTTCTCCTCTTGCCTTCACACTTTCCTAACATCAAGGTCTTTTCCAGGGAGTCTTCTCTTCTCATGAGATGGCCAAAGTATTGGAGCCTCAGCTTCAGGATCTGTCCTTCCAGTGAGCGCTCAGGGTTGATTTCATTTAGAATGGATAGGTTTGTTCTCCTTGCAGTCCAGGGGACTCTCAAGAGCCTCCTCCAGCACCACAGTTCAAAAGCATCAATTCTTTGGCGGTCCGCTTTCTTTATGGTCCAGCTCTCACTTCCATACATCACTACAGGAAAAACCATAGCTTTGACTATGCGGACTTTTGTTGGCAAAGTGATGTCTCTGCTTTTTAGGATGCTGTCAAGGTTTGTCATCGCTTTCCTCCCAAGAAGCAGGTGTCTTTTAATTTAGTGGCTGCTATCTCCATCTGCAGTGATCATGGAGCCCAAGAAAGTAAAATCTATAACTGCATCCATATCTTCCCCTTCTATTTGCCAGGAATAGAAATCTGCAGTATTGCACAAATACTAACTTTTCTCTTTGACGAAGGACACTCCTGCGGACATATCTGTTCTGACATCTGTCCTAACTCTACATACAAAAAATTGCTGTTGGAAAAGAGAAGTTGCCCAGCATACAACTCTAGTTTGATATCTAGCTTCTAGATCTAGAAGTTACAACTACTACACTCACACTCTTTCCCTTCTCTTCCTTTCCAAAACAAAGAGAAGGCACAGTAGAACAGCATTTCTCAATCCCTGTGTGTCAGGATATTGGGACATCAATTCCCATAACCCCTTACCACTCACTGGCTCTGGTAACTGCCACCTTAGAGAACTGTAGTTCAACAATATCTCTACAGAGCCAAAGCTTGACAGTAATACTGAACTGGAGCAGCCTACTCCAACTCAATGACCTCCGTGATGGGAATAGAATGGAACGACAACCTGAAGGCTGCTGATGGGGGAAGAAGGCTGTAAATAGGTGGGACTTCTCAATCCCCACTGTATCTGCAGTAGGCCTGAATACTGCTCATTCCTAACTCTCCAGATCAGAGAACCTGCAGACCATCTGTTCTACTGAAGTCTGAGTCCCTACAGATTATTATCTCAAGTATACACAACCATCACTGAGTCTCATATGCCTCTCAAAAGGAACAAATATTTCTGAGTAATACCAATGGCAGGTACAAAGGCATCAGCAGGCAAGAGGCAACTCACTGCAAGTGTGTAAAGAAGGTGATGCCCCCATAGGTGAACAGGCCACTCTCATCTGATTCTGGAAACTAAAAAAGGTCAGCCTGCTTAATATTCAGAGAAGGGAGCCACCAAGGGTTTCCAGGAAGGTAAGAAGATCACAAAGAGAGCTGCTGCCGCCAATCAGACTCAATGATACAGAGCTAGACAGTATTCATTTGCTTAATTCAAATATTTCCCTGCCCTCCCCCTCAGTTTCTGAGCTCTTTGGAGAATGGTCTCCCTTTGGTTCTACCACTGTCATTGCAGGCATGTCTAGTGAGGACCTAAGAGAGGGCAGACGCTTTTGGTGGGTGCTCCCAGTCAATGGAATTCACTGCCTCATGAAGCTAGGTTTGTCCCCTCCTTACAGTCCTTCAACCAGCAGGTGAAAACCTTCCTTTTAAAGTTGACTTTTAAGCCAGCCTCCAAAGCTTGCACAGCTGTAGTTTTCAGAAGGGGGTGCTGCACATTTTTATCAGTATTTTAAGATTTTGTATTATATTATTTTGGTTAATCCTGTTTTAATTATAATAACTGAACCTACTGTGATTTTATACCTATGTTTTTTTATTGTCACATGCCACCTTGTGTTTCTTTATTGGAAGAAAGGCAGGATATAAACAAAGTAAAGTAAAGTCCACTGACTTATGGCCTTCAGTGATGACAAAAATCTTCCACAGTATCTATCAGAACCCTTAATTTAGTCACTAAAAATGTTAGGCTTGTGGACAGGAAAAGAAGCACATTCAGAACATGGGCCCCAGATAAGGGACTGTAATCGGAAGAGCCAGAGAGAATTAAAAAATCACAAGCAGTTGCATAAACTGTAGTTATTAAACCACAAAAGTTGGGTAATGATACACCCATCCCTGCTTTCATAAGATTATTCTATAACTTGTTAGTTATTTGGACCTTTTGTAATTTACTGAGGCTGTGACCCTCTAAGATAATTATCACAAAGAACAAGACAGCAATAATGAAAGAAACTCTACTATGATTAGCATCACCACTTTGTTACGAAAATGAGACCTATTTAACTAGTCGCCTGAGACTTGGCATATGAGTGCTTAATACTTAAAAAGCTGCCATATGTACAGCAATCATAAACATGCTGGAGATTAACAGATTTATCCCCTTTTCTGTAATTGTCAGAAATACATTTTTATTTCCATCAAACCTTGGTGAAGCCCATGGATGTTTCTCATTGTTGAGAAGTAAAAAGGGTTTTTGGTATAGGCAACAAGAACTGCTGGCAATATTATGTCATGAGTGCTCAGTTTCTTTCCAGATTTTAATGTCAGATGTCAGTGTTTTCACAGAAAGGCTGTTTCAGAGAGAACCTGCCTGATTATATTGTACAACCCCTGGTTCTTAAATCATGGAAGTATGACTTATCATCTTGCTGATACTTTTGATGGACCCCCTTGGCAAGTGATTTCCCCAGTCTCTTTCTTTTTCCAAACCATCTACTTCCTCATGGAATTGGCTTACTAAAACTTCCTTCTCACAATATCTGGAGGGTCAAAAATAATTCTTGTCTTTGAGATGTGGCACAGAGGTTACCTTTCCATAACCTGAAAATACTGCTAGGCAATTGCATCAGTAAATATACATCACTTCAGCAGTGGGTCTAAGGAGTTGTGAGTT